TTACCCTGAGTCCTGATGTTATATGATACGTATTTCGTGTTTCGAGTCGTGTCGTACAGACTAATTCGTATCGTATCTGTTGATCGACTGTGTTTGCATCGATCCCGAGACCCCTTTTTATAGGAAGTTGAATCTGTGGATCCGACTTCCTGTTGGTGAGTCCCGGGAGGGGGGGGGGGATGAGTTTCGTCGTAGACGACCGGATGACCTAAACAAACAGATCGATATCTTTTCCTTTGAAACCATATTTGCCTACTGGCGACAGTGAGACTCTAAATGCGCATCTGCGACACAAATATGCGTCTAATACGCATATTTGTGTCGCCTATTGGCGACGGTAACAGAGACACGTCATCCGGTTTCGTGTACGGTAGAATGATTTATGTGTACCAGATGTTTGTACATAACATACTCCCCCCGTTGAGAATGTATCGATCAACTGTTTTGATTTTGTTTTGTTTAAAATAATCGCGTGCACGCATCGCATAAGTGTGGAAACATGTTCCAGTGTGTAAAATTTTACAATAATATATGTATGTATATAATATATGTATGGATATATATATATGCATAATAGCGCATAATTATTATTCTAATGGGAGTGGACACAGAGATTTCGCAGCTCTTTTTATCTCTCCGGCTGCGGTTTTAATGACAGCGGCTACGGACGATTCCATCGTCGCCGCGTGTAGCTTTGTGACTCTGTCTAGGGCCCACTGGTTACTCGGTAGATTTTTCTCTTTTATGAGTACTACTGTCCCCACGTCGAGTTTCGGCCCGTCTTTGTTCCACTTATTGCGCGTTTGGAGCTCGTTCAAATATTCAAGACTCCATCGCGCCCAAAAGTCTTGTCTCACCTTGGCAACATGTTGCCAGACAGACAGACGGTTCACTGGAACAGATGTAAGTTCGCCCTCGGGGAGGGCCGTTATAGACTTGCCGATTAAGCAATGAGCGGGGGACAATGCTAGTATGTCATTCGGATCAGATGAAATGCAAGTTATTGGCCTCGAATTTAGGATGCCCTCGACTTCGGTTGTAAACGTATTGAATTCTTCGAAAGTAAATAATGCATCGCCCACGACACGTTTGAGGTGATGCTTAAAGAGTTTTACCATTGATTCCCATGCTCCACCAAAATGTGGCGCTAATGGTGGTATGAAGTGCCAAACAAGACGATGTTCGCTAGCGAATCTGTTTATTAAATCTTTATGCTCGTCGGAATTAAACAGCGCGTATAGCTCTCTCAATTGATTATTCGCGCATACGAAGTTGGTTCCATTGTCCGAATAAATGTGTTCTGGCATTCCCCGCCTCGCAATGAAACGACGCAATGCCGCGAGAAAGCCTTCGGACGATAAATCGCTCACGACTTCTAAGTGAACTGCCTTTATCGACATGCATATAAATACGCATACATAGACTTTGATTCGTGTCCGATTACGATGTTTCCTTTCCTTGATGTAAAATGGCCCGCAATAGTCAATCCCGGTATGAGAAAAGGGCATAGCTTCGCGAACCCGCGCCGGTGGCAGATTCCCCATCTTATATTCGACCGCATTAGCATCGAAACGGAAGCAGTGGACGCATTTGCGTACGATTTTTCGAACTTGATTACGACCGTCTGGCAACCAGAATTTTTGACGAAGAAAATATAACGTATGCTGGATGCCTGCGTGGTGATGTTTCTCGTGAATTTCACGAATGATGCGGTCGGTAAAAATATGTCGATTGGGAATGAGAATTGGATGTTTTTGGGCGAATGTCAGACCCGACGCCTGGAGACGTCCTCCGACACGAATCAAACCATGCTCATCTAGAAACGGATTTAAATTGGCGATTTTACCTTTGTTTATTGGAACCTTGTTTTCTAATTTCTTGATTTCGTCCGAGAAGCGAGATGCTTGAATAATCTTTAATATGCGCGTTTCCGCTTCATTAATTTCCTCCGTGCATAACGGTCCGGTGAAGCTATTGTTAGGCCGGACGCGAAGGCATATTGCAACAACTCGAAGCAATTTGGAGTAAAAAGAGAATTTTTCGAAAATCCCGATATCGTCGTGTGCGACCATTAAACAAGTGTTTTTCTTTAACTCAGGAATCTCAATTGTTTGCATGACCTCGTTAGGCCATTCAAATTCGTCATTGATTAGCCACGAAGAGCCCGACGACCACATCTGATTTTTTAAGAAATCGCGAGGCTTCTGACCCCTCGATAACGCATCGGCAGGGTTATGTTCTGATCTAACGTGCCGCCAGTCGCATGAGCCGGTCAATTCCCGGATTGATACGACACGGTTTGCTACGTACGTTTTTAATAAGTGCGGAGCCGTTTTTAACCAATGTAACACGATGGTCGAGTCGCACCATAAAATGATCTTGTCGGGAATAATATCTAATGCGTTGCTCGCTTCGCGATAGAGTTGAGCCAGCAATAGCGCACCGCAGAGCTCGAGACGCGGGACAGTGACGGTTTTTAAAGGGGCGACCCGCGATTTAGCGCATAATAATCTGACTGTTGTATCACCGCGCTGTCCGCGAGAACGTACGTATAAACACGCGCCATAGCCGTTGTTACTAGCGTCGCAGAATCCGTGCAATTGAATATCTTGGGAATCTTCGACTAGCAATTTACGATCGAAAGAAATTTGGTCCAACAATTCCCATTGTCTCGCGAATTCCGACCACTCTGTAAATATGTTTTGAGGAACAGACTCGTCCCAATGTAAACCGCATCGCCACACGTCCTGCATTAGCCTTTTAGCATACAAAATAACTGGACCTAATAAGCCCAACGGGTCGTAAATCTTCGCAATTTCTGACAAAATATTCCGTTTTGTCAATTTCACGGTAGCGTTAAATGGTCGAGTCGAATAATATATTTTGTCATCGCGTGTATTCCAGGTTACACCCAACGTTCTCAACGTACGATCCACGTTCAATGCAAAGTTCGCATGAAGTGCATTAGACGGTAAATCATTAATTATGTGAACGTCGTTAGATGCCCATTGCCGAATGGTGAATCCGCCGCGAGAGAGTAACGCAATTACTTCATCTCTGATCGCGCGGGCCTCATTAATAGTGTTAGCTCCGGTTGAAACGACCTGTTAACTTCCAACGGACGCGTAGTTAGCTCTAGTCGGAGGACGTGGGGTTGACAGGTCCGGAGACCGAATAATTTGCTGCCGTGCGAATTTTACTGAATAGGCGAAAGTTTATTACAATATATATATATATTTACACTGTCGGGTGGATATATGATCCTTCGCGGATTTCGTTGCGGCGCGTGGCGTTCGGAGCCCGTGTTCGAATCGCTCCACGCTGAGCGAGCGCGCGAGGGGTGGTATTCGTAACGCCTGGGCCGACGGCGGTCGGCGGGAGCAAGCAACGGCTTGTCCCCGGTCAGGCGTTTCGGCGGAGGGATGTGAACGTGACCAGCGGCGGCTGGTCGCGGTGAAGAGCTCCTCACCGCTTCTGCTCGAAGGAACGGACGGCTTGTGCGACAGGCGGCAGCGGCCGACGGAGGTAGAACGCGTCCTACCTCCTGGTGTCGTAAAGCGTGGTATCGGAGTCGGATTGCGAACGTCGGATGTGCTGTGGTCAGCTCGGTTGCTTGGCCAGATCTCTCTTCGTATGTCGGCGCGAGCCCCTTTTATACCTTTTCCCCGGAGGCGAGCGCTACCCCGTGGCTTCCCTTTTTATTAGCCCGGGCTTTGTTTTAACTTCCCGATTCGAGCGCTTTCCCGTGGCGGAGAGTCTAAGCACGCGCGCCTGTCAAAGTCCGCGTGGCGCCGGGTGCACGTGTGCCCGTGCCGGTGTACGCGTGATGCCGGGTGCGCGCGCGCTCGCTTCCGTCGTCCCTGGCGGTGTTTTCGCGTGCGGGCGCTTGCTTGCTATTCGGAATTATAAAGGGGCGCACCGCGCCCTTGAGCGCAACCGAAGTTGCGCCTCCCGGTGACTGATAGTCAACCGGCTTCCCGACTGGCGTTTGCCGAGGAACGGTGCATTTTCGGGCGCACCGTTACACGGTTAATAGATCATCGACGTATAGGTGCGTTTTAAGAATCTCGGCCGCCTTGGGATATACGAGAGATTCGTCGTCCGCGAGTTTATGTACGGTACGAATTGCGAGAAACGGCGACAAAGACACACCGAAAGTTAATGTGTTGAGCTGAAATGTTTCCACGTTACCATTCCTACGCCACAAAATACGCTGATACGGTCGATCCTCCTCGTGTAACCATACTTGGCGATACATTTTTTCGATATCCGCCGTTACAACGTATTTATAGGCACGGAAACGGATTAAATGTGAAATCAACGGATTCTGAATAGTGGGACCTATCAACAACATTTTATTGAGAGAAATGCCAGCGTTCGATCTCGCGGATGCATCAAATACTATCCGAACCTTCGTCGTGTTGCTAGATTCTTTAATTACCGCGTGATGAGGCATATAGTAACCGTCGTCGCCTGGGTCATCTATTCGCGACATATGCCCTAGATTCAAATATTCTTCTATCAACCGCGTGTATTCGTTTTTTAATGTCATGTTCGCATTAAGTTTACGCTCTAGTGATGCTAAACGTTTGAGTGCCAAAGTTCGTGATTCGCCGAAGCGCTTTCCTGTACTGCGAAACGGTAGACGGACTGTGTATCGTCCGGAACCGTCACGAGACACGGTTCTCATGAAATGCGTTTCACATTCCGTATCCTCTTCGGATTTCGGCTTATCTATTGCGACCTCCTCGACTGTCCAGAACCTAAGCAATAAATCTTCTAGATTCGTTAAATGACACGTCACGAATTTTGATGGGCTCTGTGACGACGTACTCCCGGCGACCACCCATCCTAGACGCGTCTTTTGGAGATACAGATCATGACCTTCGCGCGACAAATTGATCTGGCCGACGGCGAACAAAGATAACGTCGCTCCGGAACCGATTAACAAATCGACCGAACGCGGTAGATGAAATTCTGGATCCGCCAACCTGACGTTCGGTGGCAATTTGATCGAATTACGCGGAAAAATCTCAGAGGGTATCAGATCCGCGATAGCCGGTATTGTTAGACACGTCAATTCCTTGCTAAAACCGTCGCGTGTCGATTGCACGGTGATTTGTACCACACCCCTCGATTCGGTATTTATGCTGTTAATCGCACCGATCGGTAAAGAATGTGCGACCACGTGTATGTCTAAACGTTTAACAATGGACTCTGAGATGAAATTGGCTGTGGCGCAAGTGTCTAACAGAGCACGGCATTTGATCAAACCACCTCTACGATCCCGAATATATACCAACGCGCTCGTCATTAATTGCGGAGCGGAAATACATAATGTCGCGAGACTTAATGTTCTGTTGTCGGCCGCCTCAAGAGGTCATTCTGTCTGAGTAGATTCGGGTTTCGCGGCCTGACTAGATTTTCCTGCGGTCGCGTAATTATCCAGGTGTAAGAGTGTGTTGTGCCGCTTTTGGCATATTGTGCAGCCGGACAATCTACACGGAATACCCCTGTGCGAACGCAAGCAGTTGTAGCATATTTTCGCATTTTTAACCGCTTCAATACGCTTAGTTACGGGCAACCGTTTGAATGTATCACACATGAAAAGCGGATGTTGTTTATTTTTACACATCAAACAATTGCGCGATGCGTTTAGCACAAGTGCTCGATTCGCAGGGAAAGTCCGTTTTCTTTTAACCGGCGGTTCGTCCTTGCCCCTTTCCGCTTCCGTCGTCTTCGCTTTCTCATGTCTCGAAGCACAAACCGCGGCTTTGTATATAAACTCATATATTTGATCGGGCTTAGGAACTTCGTCTCTTTCGAGATTCGCTTCCCATCTATCTAGCGCGGTTTTCGGTAATTTGCTTTCTAAAATATGAACGATCATTTCCGGTCCGACGGAAACTCCTAGCGAGCTTAGCGAGGCGACGTGTTGCTGCATGTCGTCGGCGAGCTTGGACAAACCTTCGGTTGTTCTTTAACCAGCGTGGGCAAATTTATAATTAACGAGAGATGACGTGAAATCAGAATTCGTTTCACTTCGTATGAACGCTCTAGCAATTCCCACGCTCTAGTATAATTTATTCCGTCTGTAGCAAAAATCCGAATCTTACTAGCGGCATCCCCGGTTAATGCCGCTCTTAGGTAATATAATTTATCTATGTCCGATAAGTCCGTCTGCGAGCCTATCATGTTATCGAACGCATTCTTAAATGATAGCCAGTTCTCGTATTTGCCATTAAACGTCGGCAAAGTTGCCTCAGGTAGCTTAATTCGCCGTTTTCTGTTCGGCGTTACGTCTGCATTTTTAATTCGCGTTGCATTGCTCGATGTACCGATGTCCGCGCTCGATGCATCCGTGCCCGCGATCGATGTTCCTGCTGGATTTAGAATATCTTCGAGAGTATAAAAACGTTCCTGTATGTTTATGAACTCGATTTGATGCGCTTCGTTTGGATCTAGTACCGTGATTTCGTCGTTAAACTCTTCGTATGCATGATATAATTCCGTTAACCGAGCTATCCGTAATTTTAACGAAGAATTATCTATTTTACCTTTGTCGAGGGCATTAGTTAAATAAGTGATTTTAAATTCGTACGTTTTTGTACGAGTAATTTAACTCTGTCGGCCATTATTTGCAATTTCAAATAAATCTGAGTCGAATGACTTACGTTTTTAGTCGCCTTTGTGATGTATGTGAATATTGCCTGGCGTCCCTCTGTAGTCCAAGGCTCTCGTTAGTATGCGTGACGATCGCTTGCGTCTTGATGGATTGTCCGTGTGTGAATCCCATCTCACAGGAGGCACCAAAATGTTATGTGTATCGGTGGAATGTGTTAAAATCACACGCGTAGTTTCGCTTGAAATTGTTTATTGATGATTTATACATGGACTGTAAACTATCGCGACAACGTTTAGGGGCGAACTTGTGCCCTGAGTCGCACTGATTGTACACTTTTAATATATATTTCGTGTGTCGCGACAACGCCTGGGAGTACGAGTACCCTGAGTCGCGGTAGGACAACGCCTGGGGGTAAACGAATTTACCCTGAGTCCTGATGTTA